CTTTACTGTATGTCTATGTATCTATCCACCTACAGTCCGGTGAGCTACAGTCAATCACCCCAGACCCATGATCGAAATATACCACTCTTCATGAAAAATAATTGTATGGTTTTCGGAGAAGTTTTTTTTTTTATGCATGTAGTTGATTTTTCTTTTTTTCTTTGACTTATTTTTTCATTCAGATTTGGGGTTGAGTTAGCTTTATACCAAGAACATGAATATGATTTCCACTGCATTAGGAAACACATTAGATGCACTCAATAAGAAAGGTCCTAGTCTGTGTGTTTGTGTCTGAGTTAATAGGCCGTGCATACAATTGAAATGAAAAGAGCAGCCATTACCTGGGGGTGTGTTAGCCAAAAGAAGATGCTTTTCTACCTCCAATGGGCCAACAGTCAGTAACCCTACAGCTCTTTGTGTTCATATCTCTGCCATTCACTGACTCTTTAGTCAGAACTAGACCAAACAGAACAAATATAACCATAGACCATTCTGTCCTTATTTCTTTCTGCAGTCCATACTACTAACTAATAAACCAAATATACTATTGACAGCATCTAAAGGGCTGATCAAGAGAGGCTGGGAAAGGCAGGACTATTGGCAAGGACCATAGAGACATGAATCCACACCCTTCTATTTCTTAGAATTCTTGGAAGCAAGTCAACAGTACCTTGATGGATGGTTTATTATTAGTTTCCCATGTTAAACATATTAATAATAAGGTGCCTGGTTTCTACAGGGACAGATTTGAAATTTCACAATCTCATCCAGCTAACAAATTCCCAGAAGTTTAATTTAAGAATTATGTTCATGTTAGCCATGCCCTGTGGATAAACACATTCAACGCTAGGTGCTGTGACAGGATCCAATGTAATTTCATGGGCACACTGGCACATTTCAGCATTTCTATTAAATTAAGTTACTTTGGGTTAGAAACCTTAAACAAGCATCTGGTGACAACTCTGGGGGGTTCATCAGGTATGTATGATGTACTGACATCATGTTAAAACAGCATATACATTATGCTTAAAGATAGATTTTAACTTACTGAAGAGCAACCTACACAAAATTGCCATTTACCTGATAGTTTGGATGATGCAGGAAATAATCCGGACATCCGGCCACAGCCATGTTTTGTGTTTCTCAGCTCTTTCGTACAATTTGCTTGGTTGGACCAGTTTCGATACAAGATGGACAGAGCGGAACCTGTAGAGGAAGAAGAGCAGACACATGGAGGTTAGTGGAAAACTACAACAGAAGGAAGGGGAGGGTGAGAAGGTCCAAGAGAGGAAGGATGAAGGAAGGAGAGGAAGATGAACTCTAGGTTCTGAGGAGACAGATATAGCGCAGAGCACTTCTTAACCCACATAGACCCACAGTAAACAACATCAACAAGCAACAAGGGAGGAACAGTGTATGGTTATAAATTGTGAGGTGTAAGCATAATAACTGAATCTTATTCAAAATCTACATATATATCTCCTCTTGTCCTGAAATTATTATTTGTAACGCACTACAAATCTTGAAAAAGCTACTGTGCGACCAAAACAAATCCAAAAGAGAAAGAAAAATGTTTTGATCATTATATATTTGCACCAATCCAATCCAGCTTTCCAATCAGATAAACATGGTTTAACAGTAATTACTCAAACTACCACGCTTTCATATTTGATTTCCACTATCAGGTAAAGATAGTTTCCTGGAGAACCAAGTCTTATGACATTAGAAATGTGGGCAGAACCCTGCAGTGATTTGTGGCGTAAGGATTATTGCTGAAGGAAGGCTGAAGACTCTAAAAGTTAGAAGCTTCCCTCATTGTCTTGTCATTGGATTTTCTAAAAAAATTTACCATTCTGACCCCGCCGGCAATCTGCTGAGGCATAGTCTTTGTAAATGGATGTAACTGCAATACAAGTTACACCTCAGGGGACTTTAAAGGGGTTCTTCTCCTCTATGAAGCCTCCTTCTCGGCCATCCTTGGGTCAAAATAACCGCAAATTCAACAACATGGACTTTAGTCTATTTGAACTTCTTAAAGTGGGTATCCTATTAACCTCTTGGCACTGCTGCCACTGAACAAACACCTGTAAACACTGACCCAAAAATACTTTGCAGGCACCTCTCCAGGTCTTAAGTTAGACTCTGAGGTATATTTGGAGCCAAACAGCTCGGGCTCACAACTATGATGGTCTTTTATGCAGCAGTTCATGACCCTCTGTTGGTATTTTAAAAATATGACCTGCCATTTTATAGACTACTAATATTATTTCATGTTTGCATTGGCGGTTGTGAGCAGGCTGCCCTTGTGGCCATAGAGTGTGTATGTGTGTGTGTGTGTGTATATATCTGCCTGTACATGTGTTTCTGCATGTGTACGTGTACTGTATGTGTTTACATATTCTGAGCATGTGTGGCTGTGCATGGGTGTGTAAAGGCTCTATTTTTAGGACTTTTCAGGGTCTTTGAGAAGCTCTGCTTGTGTTTCTAGAGTTGTGTGTCTTGCTGCCTCTGACCCACTAGTCGGATCACTGCTCCAAGTAGAGTCATCTACCACATTGGAAACTGGACATACCGTTAAACTGCTAAACTTTCGCATAAAGGTGATTCAAGCTAAATGATAGAGTGGAGCTTCGTATGGCCTGTTGTCTGACCACGTCAGAAAGCAAGTGTTCATAGCTGTTCCAAAAAGCCACTCTCAAAGGCAAGGAAAAGCTGGCTGACATAGTGAGGGGTAAGGTGCAAAAATTATTTAAATACGGGCAGACAGTGTCTCTGAGAGGCCTTCATGGTGTTGCGTCCGCTACTAAAAAACCTACTACTTGTGTGAAAAGTGAAAAAAGAGAACTGGAGAGAAAAGTTCACTGTTTATTAGATTGTTGATTTAGGAAAGTTATGGAAAGTGTGCAAATTCAGATATTGACCCCTTATGACTAAGTTAGAAATTAGAGATCAAGTCGAAACATTGACTAACTTCTCATGACAATCCTCGTCTTTGATAAGTTTGAAGTGCCACTCACAGCTCCCTCTTTACAATTTTTTTAAACTAAAATGTTTTTTTGTACTTCCAAAATTGAGCTCGCAAATAATGACCAAACCATGAATGCATTCTAAACAAAGAGCCTGGCACCACAATCACTGGGAACGATAAAAGGGCTTGTTTGTAATGAGTGTGTGTGTGTGTCTTACTGTGTCAGTCCATGTGTGTGGCCTGGCCGGATGGCATGACAGCTCGTCATTTACACATTATTTACAGACACACAGTTTACAACAAAAACAAAACAAATTAACATCAGCCTAAACTCTCAGAGCAGCCCCTCATTAGGCGCCACACACACTTGCTGACTTGCTGTGGCTGAACTGTATGTTTATTATATTTCAGGAGTCAGGAGGTTACACTAGAGGGACAGAAGTAGACTTCAACTAACTACATTAGAAGCTAAACAAAATGATTGTGCCTAAAGCTTAAATCTTTATCAAAACTGCCGCTTTCATTTCCTGGGGATTAAATATTAAACATTGCACAAATTAAATGTATGGCCTTTTAACATCACTGGTGTAAATTCTGCTTCATCTGTGCATGATTAAACATGGGAAAAAGCTCAGGCGTTCCATGTAGCATTAAAATACCTTGCAGCCCAAGTTTCAAAGTGCTCATACGTGCCACTGCGACTCGCAGTGACTGATATATTGACCAAACACACACGCACCTATCCTTAATTGCTCCCTGACACAATCAAAGCCATTCCAGCGGAGGGATTAGACCCTCTCAGAGCCCTTTGATTCAATTCCTTCCACTTGAACAGTATACTGAAACATAACCATCTCTGACCTTGACAGTGCAATTATCCGGGCGGTGTCACCGCAGTAGAAAGGCAGACTTTGGGGTACAGCAGCTGTACCCAGCGGTGGGGTGACAGCATCTGGGTTAATTAAAGTGATTTCACTCAGACTTGCCTGAGGGAGAACGTTAGCTGGTGGACTTCAAACGCAAGGGCCTTAATAATACCTATCATGAATAATAAATTCTTTTCAGCGCCAGTACCGTCCTGCTGAAGGTATTTTACCGACATCCATCTGATGTTGTGGGAAATTTTTAGTGTGTGACTTATATTATTTCAAAAAGGACTGTGGTGGACCTGTACTGGTGATTTTAGCCCATTACCTACAAATACATAAGTTAAGTTAAGTTAGACACTAAATGTTTAAGTTTCACACACCTTCAAGAAAGCTTTTCAAAATAGTTAAAGCTACTTAACTTTACCACATGATATAATGTACACATATTAACAATACATAAAACAGGACCTTTATGACTACTGTGATGGATTAGCAGTGCCATGCAATTTTCCAGTTGCTGCCAAGATCATAGATTACAACGAGAAAAACATTTCTGCTTTAGAAAACAGTAAGCTGCAATGTGACGTATATGTGGTTTGTACTTAATGAGCTAGAACACTATGCAACACTGCACTCGAGCCAATAAGCCATACACAATGAGACAATTATTCTGTTAGATGTTGCTTTGCTCAAAAGTCAGTTTCATTTCACTTAAATAGTCTCAGAGCATGTATGAACCTATAAGGTATATTTTATAAAATTAGTCAAAAGACAAAAGCTACCATTGTGGTGAAACTCTGTCAGTGTGACGTGATATATTGGATGTTACAACATATAAAAGGTAAATGAGTCATAAGTGAAACTAAACTTTAACTTTTGAGAGGAATAATAGCCTTTGACCTGCCTGTATTTTCCCTGAGCTCTGCAACTACAACCAACAAATACAGCATGATGTTGTAAAGTGCAACTGCTCTTTAACTATCACTAGAAACCTGGGACATTTAAGCCTAATTGAAACAGTAGAAACATTTCCCTAAAAGGTTCTCCTCTTTTACATAGTGGTTGGATCAGTGGCTGACCAGCTCCCCAGACCAACAATGGATGTCTCCACTTGCAACCAATACCATGAGGGTAAATATGTCATTTGAAGCAATGTACTGATCCAAAATGGAGCGAGGGAATGCAAAGCAAACACAAACTTTTAGACAAACTTTTGCAAGAAAATATTTCTTTGCAAATAAGAAATATACATTTAGAATCATGTATATTAACTCTCATTATGGTTTCAAATAGTCATTAGTTATTTAGGCCACAACTTCCTCCCATATTAAATAACAAGTTATTAAGTTTTTCCCTTCCATAAGCCTTTCCAATGACTCCAATAAAAATACCTAGAGTGGAAAATGGAAATATTAAACTTTTAACCTCACATTCTGTATGTAGGCCAAACCTGAAATAAATCAGAGTCTTGTGAGCTGCACTGCTTAACATGCCTTATAAATGAGGGAGTCAGTTTGTTTTCTTTAAATCTGCCTGCCTGTTGGTCTGGTTTGTCTGTCTGAACTGTCAACCTGCCGGTTTGTATTTCTGCCTTTCTATCTGCCTTCCTGCTCAGTATTGTCAGCCTGTCTGTTTGTCCGTCTCTCTCTCTTCCTGTCTGCTGTCTGTACCTGTCTGTGTATTTACCTGCCTGCCAGCCTCTGTACATTTCTATGAGGCGTTTTATATATATATTCCTGTCCCTTCCAAATAGTGAGGGTTATTTATAGTGGGGCATCCAGGAACATACTGTAGTTTAAACTTGTGCAGTGTGCAAGCCAGACAAGTCAGTCTCAAGTCAGATGCTAGAAGAGCTCTGTTACAGTTCACGAAAGCAAATCTATTTAAATGGTAGGAAAGAAGATCTCTACTGACTGACTCTAAAACTCCATCCAACATTCAGTGTTACTGAATTAAATCAAATAGGCATGTGGCTCAGTTATGTAAGGTGTAAGTTTATTCTACTTCTTATCGTCTTCTTATTGTTATTTATTCTGTTGCCAAAGCTATTGCTGAACCAACACAGAGTATTTCTTATTTCTTTTTTGGAATAATAGAAATGCTGGACTAAGTGTGTACTGTGGAACTTACGTGTTCAAATCCAAACAAGAAAGGCTTTAATTACAGCATGCATGTAAGGCAGAAACCTGACACCAATATGGAGTTACTGATATGGATTTTTTCAAATATGTCACATCTTTAACAAAATAACCTCATTAATAGCCTTTTGGGTTACCATTGGAATGAATTAATTATTTTTCACACATGGAGCCATAAACCAAAACCCGACAGTGCTCGATGGCAGCGTCTGTGCAGCTCAGATGTGCAGC